TTACTCTGTTTACCGAAAAGCGCAACATTTGACAAAATGCAAGCGTCGGAACATCGTAGGAACTTCAATTCAAAAAATATTTTGAAAGAGAGGATTTTAAGGCCTAAAAACCATTCAAAATAGCTTTGGTCCAAAAATGGGGTGTGAGGTTTGGATTTGACTCTCCTCTTGCCGAAGAAATTGAACCTTTGCCCTACACATCTTTCATCACCAAGGAAGCCATCAGTAGCGCCCAAGTCTTAAGGTCGGTCAAAAATGGGGTGTCTACACCATGCTTAATGGTTTAAACTCTTCAGAGGTTCGTTATCAAGGCATGGCATCTCTCTTATGTTCAAAACAACTTCTTATTTGACACCTCTCCATTTAGTGGACTTAATTCTCATTTTTGGACTAAATGAATTAAATAATGGAAATGTAATTAAAAAAGGGCTAATAAAATAAAACTAAAAAAGATGCAAGATTAAAATTGGTTTGGGTTCAATCGGATATTAATTGAACCCATTGAGTCTTAGGCCATTTCATACTTGTTAGTGATGATAATAGTTTGAGAATCAGTGTCAACCATTTCCCTTGATCAATTCCATGATAGGGAGGAAGTTTTGTTGGTCTCTTATTTCGACTTATTGAGCTTTTGTCCAATCAAGTCATAGAGCATCTTGCAACAACTTTGCAATCATTGATGATTTGTGAATCGATTCTATCCCTCCTTTGATCAACTTCATGATAGGGAGAGGCAGGGAGGATCAACATCCCTTGGAAACAATCTTTCTGGTCTGTTCCTTTTCTACTACAGCAGGGCAGTATCAACAATAGTGGCCAATCAGCTACCATTTGAATCCGGCCAACCACTTTTACTGGCCAGCTGGCCACCGTTTTTTTCAGCATGTCAATGTCATTTTCCTCCAAAATAAAGCAGAAGCTGAGGCAAAAATAGAAGCATTTTCTACAGACAAAACAGTTTTGGTAGCAAAACAGAGGCGTTTTCGGGCGGATGTTTGCATTGGCATGTATGGTTCCTTAAACCCCGCTCAAGTTTGATTAGTTTACATAGCTCATAGTGAATTCATTCATTAATTAGTGGGTTAATTCCCTTGAATTTGTAATAATTTAGTTAATTTAATCTCATGTTGTACTTAATTAATTAGTTTCGTTCAAACTTATAATAATTAGCTAGTGCAGTTAATTTATTTCATTTGGTTTGTAATAGCTAGTTAATTTAGTAATTAGCTAGGACATTCATTCGGACCCTCCTGTGCGAGGGCAAATTGTAATATTGTGTATGTCTTCCAAACCCACGTCTTTCTCCCTTTTATTTACCCGCTTATGATGGATAGTGCAGAGCATCATGTTCATTTTAGTATTTTTCGTAGTTTTCATCCATTTGTCTCGCATGCATAGGGTTCGGTTCATCATTCTAACGGCATTGTCATTTCTTACTTTCTTGAATACGTGTGCCACCGCATGCTATCAAAGTGATTCACATGACATATTAGACAACCAAACCTATTAGCTGCTTTTTTGTGTGTTGCATTAGTCACTTGCATATTAGAGCATGCCTTTTTCTAACTATTTTGTTTCTTTTGGCTTACCTTGGAGTACTAGGTGAGCACTTATCGCTTTAGCATATCGCATGTGTGTGATTGTTGCCATATCAAGCACATTTTCTATGAGGCTCAAAGCTCGTGATGTCATGAGTTAAGATTGTTATATAAGCCTGTTAAATTAATGAATCATCCATAAAGTGCATCAATATGAGGAGCCAACAACACTGTTAACTACACTAAAGAACAAGGTAAAAAAATTCATCTCTATGAACCTACACAACATATAAAAAGAAATCGCAATTGGCTAATGACCGAATTGTGAGCACTAAGCACCTTCCCACTAATTCTACTTTCTAGATGTATAATCTGCCAAGGCTAGGCTCTATCATGAATTTGTCCATTAAATACAAAAACAACACTCTACCTGCTGTTTCTAAACAATTTACCAAGTGAAAGATGTTGTTCACCAGCAACAATAATAAAATAAAACAACATAAACAATTGATAAATCAAGAATTTCCCAAGAACCTTAAGACAATATAACCCTCTGTTTGATTGCTGAGGGAAAACAAAAAAACAAAATGAAAATTTGAGGAAAAACAAAACAAAATGAAAATAAGTCATGTCGTAACCTTTAACAAAAGTGGTGGCCAAGGCATCGTAATGATCAACTACTTTGCCACCAAGTTATGCTACGTAGACAACACCACCAAAAAAACACCTTCAGATTATAGGACACATTGGCAATTCTAGCCATGAGGTGGACACAAAAATGATTGATGTCTGTAATAACTGCACAACAAAAAAGCTGGACACAAAAATCTGGACTAATAATTAGTAGGTACACACTTCCATCATAATTCACTGCATTCACAGAACCGTGTTGTTTAATAAGTAAGAAATTAGGGCTCTTCATCATACATGTTCATACCTTATGTTGGGGACATCTCACCTGATCAGTGATCATAGAGGTTTACATAAAATCACATGCAATATACCTAAAATTAGAATTAGTAAGCATCCCACTACTTCAAATATTGCTTCTAGAAAAATTTGAGAAACATCTTCATTTGACAGAAAAATGATAGATATTGAACTGCAACCAGTAATACATGTTGTACATAAAATGAAACCACTCAAGTATATGAATATTTTAATTTCAATGTCAAGGAATGGATCAAATATTGAAATATCCATTTAATGGTATCAAGTATAAACATTACATTTAATCTTCTAGAGCATACAAAGGTTTCTCTACATTGAAAAAACTATGAACATACTATAATAAATTTCTAATGAACAGTGGGAAAGGAAGATAATGTCCAACTTTGCCTTCAATGACATATCATGATGACCTTCAATGATATGAGCAGAGATGATCTGTTTCAAAGCAACTGCTTCCAAGATCAATGACCTTCACTTGACATCTACTGTAGCTCTTCACCAAAATATTCTCAGGTTTCAGATCATAGTGTATGAGACCAAGACCATGCAAGAATTGAAGTGCCTCCAGACACTGGATGGTGATAGACTACACATAAAAATTGAAAACCAAGTAATTAACCAGTAGCTTGTTAGTGGGATGAAAAGCCCTCAGACCAATGTCACCCTACAAGTGAGTTTCCTTTAAACAATGACCAGAAAAGTTCCAGGGTAAGGCCTTACCAGTAACATCATCGTAGAAAGAAACAAGAGAACCAAGGGTCCGAGAACCATGATAGCATACACGCATGGTAGAATTAGAAGGAAAGACTAGGAAACCCATGGTATTATTGCAGAGCCATAATCAGTAGAATCAAATTTGGGCCTTTTTTTACGAGCCCAAGACGAAGAAAACTAGGGTTCCCTATGAGGCCATGCTTAGCCTCGTATAGCAGCAATTGGGCGGTGGTCAGCCTCCCGGAACAGTCGCCGCCGCCGCTGTTGAGGTTTTGGGTGTTTTGAAGAACAATAACCCCAACAAGAGGGAGGAGATTGAGAAATTGTTGAACCCTATGTCAAATCATGATTTCGATCAGATGGTTTCCTTTGGGAACCTAATCACTGATTTCCAAGAAGAAGAAGACAATGTTATGATTGATGATAATGTGGGTTTTACTGTTGTGTTTGACGAGGAAGAAGAACAGGAGGAAGAGAATGGGTTTTACTGTTGTGTTTGACGAGGAAGAAGAACAGAATGGTTTTGATGATGATGATCTTAAAGTTGAGACCAAGCTTTTGGGTCATCTCCAATTCGATAATTTCAGTCTTGTTAAGTGTTTGTTGCAGAACCGATTGAAGATTGTGTGGTGTACTCGTCTAGCCAGGGCCGAGGATCAGGAGACGAGAGAGAAGATTGAGGAAGAAATGTTGGAATCTGGACTGGAATTGGCTGCAATTCTTGAGCAGTTGCAAGCCGATTGAGAGAGAGAACACAGAGAGAGGGAGAGTAGGAGACAGAGGAGATCGGGGCCTTCTTTTAATTTTTTTTTTTTCCAGGAACAAAACGACGTCATTTTTACTTTGGCGACCAAATTTTTTTTGTGGCCAAAAAATTTCATTTCCCCCCTCCCTGTTTGAAATTTCCCTCCCAAACACTTTTGGCGACCAAAACACCATATTAGTCGCAAAAAAGCTACCTTCGGCAACAAATTTTTTTAGTCGCTAAATCTCAATCAATGGCGACTAAAATATTAGTCGCTAAAAGTACAAATTTGGCGACTAAATTTTTTTGGTCGCCAAAATGTAACCTTCCGCGACCAAATTTGAAGTTGGTCGCCAAAAGTATACCAATTTCTGCGACTAACTCATTTTTGGTCGCCAAAATGTGACCTTCTGCGACTAACTCATTTTGGTCGCCAAAAATATTGATCATTCGCGACTAATTAATATTTTGGTCGGCAAATGTCATTTTTTTGCGATCAAAAATTTTTTGGTCGGCAAAAGTGGTCGCCAAATGTGTAAATTCTTGTAGTGTTATTAGGTAAAGTATGAAAGGTTACTGTAATTATTCAAACCACAGGAGAAATCCCTGTAATTATTAAAAACCTCAGGAGAGGTAAATGTAATTTACTTTTTTTTCTTTTAAATATCATGTTGACAGTACACCTAACTAATAACATAAGCACTGCTGGAAATCAGGGTTTTAGAGGCGTTTGAAAAACGCCGCTATAAGTCCTAAAAACGCCGTCAAATCTTTTTGTGGCGTTTAGCACTAAACGTCGAAGATGCGGCTGTCGCTATAACTCTATGGCGCTAGAGGCGTCGAAATCAGGGTTTTATAAAATGCCGCTAAAAGTTCTACTAATTGTAACATGACGTCACCATGCTATTTAGCGACGTTTTTAAAACGTCACTACATCTCTTTTTCCCAACTATTTAGCGACGTTTTTAAAAACGCCGTGATAGCCCCCTTTTTTTAAAAAAAAAATGTGCTAATTTTTTAAAAAAATACCTATAATAAAACTAAAATAGTACTAATATAAAATAATAACTCCCATTCATATAGTAAAATCTTATAAAATGATAGTCCACAATCATTGTGCAAAAACAAAACATTCACACAAATCAAACGGTGTATGTTACACAAAAATATTTCATATTTCTCACACTCTAGAAATCTTCATATGGTCATTGGAGAGTTACTGAGTTAAGAATAAGTCATCAATGCAAATAAACTCTCTATTTCAAATACAAGAACCAACAAAAAAAATTAAAAAATTAAAAAATGTCATAACAACTGATAGTAATATTAGTCCTCGGACTACCAGGTCACCAGCTAAAGTAGCAAACACCAGACTTTCTTGTCCATCAGCATTCTTCTTTAGATCTGCCAATCTGACGGCGCTAACAAAAGCAATCTTGCATACCACCACACATTTTGGATCAGGAGAACCACCAGGGACAAGCTGCATTACGCACAAAATGTTAGAATTGTAGAATACAAAATCAATAGGACTCAGCTTCTCAAACAAAATCAATAGGACACAGACACCATGCAAAAGAAATTTAGGGATTCAAACGACTATTTTGGCAAAAAATCATTACAAGATCTTGAACTTCCATCACAACATAAAAGCAGAATCATAGTACCTATGAATCTTGCTGAAATAAGAAGTTGGTTTGCTCCATCCCACTAATCTAGAGAACTGCAAGGAAATCAATATTTCAGCATGTATAGAAAACCGTTAGCAGTAATAAAACATATCGTACTAAATAATCCAACCCAACAGCATGTTTCTTGGCAGATTTAAATGCATAACCAAAACAAAAGTAAACCTTCTGTAGGCAGATTTGCATGCATATTGGTAGATTGAAAACCTATACTGGATGTGTTCTTTAGCAGAAGGTTCATCCTGAGGTTTCATGGCCGGAAAGAGTAGAACTTCCTGTCCCCAAACCAAAAAACAAAACAATTGACACTTGAGTAAAAAAGCTCAGTCGAAAAAACTTTCTATTGTAGAATGTGAAACTTCCCACGTCCAGCCAAACACACCCAACACCAACCCTAACCCCACCAAGCCAACACTACCAATAATTAAACAAATGAAAAATCACCAGCAAGGAAATCCAAAACCACAAACTGATAACACATGAACATTTCACACAAACCACACAAACGTAAAACACAAACCTTGATGTTCTGCGAATCTGTCATCATCATTGTTAGTCGGTCAATACCCAGTCCCCAACCACCAGTTGGGGGAAAACCATACTCGAGAGCTGTGCAAAATGTTTCATCCAAAGCCATTGCTTCATCATCACCTGATTGTCGGTCCTGAAATTTAATCATACAAAAATCTTCAGTCAAGGCACCCCACACAACATGACTTTACATGCCACAATGATTCAATTCCTAATGATCATAATACCTTGAGTTGGTCAGCAAACCGTTGGCGTTGTACCACAGGATCATTCAACTCCGTGTATGCATTGCAAACCTACGTACAGAACATAGATGGCATGCAAGGAAAAAATATAAATATAAGTATATATATACATAATCCTTAGAAAATCAATATTTTAAAAAAATAACAATAATAAAGAACTAAATAGAAATCCTTAGCTGGTATGACATACTTCACGCTTGTTAACAAATAATTCAAAACGTTCAGTCAAGCCTGGTTTTGACCTATGCCACTTTGCCAATGGACTCATAATCTCTGGATGGTTAATAATGAAAGTAGGGTTTACACATGTCTCCTCCAGAAAGTGCTCCACAAGCTGCATTCAGAAATCTAATCATTAATCATATATAACACAAAAATTTTGGTCTAATTTTAAGTTGCAACATCATCACTCACAGAATCCATGCTCTGTATTCCTATGATCGAAGTCAACCCTTAGATTTCATACTAACATTTATTTCAATAGAGGACACAATATGAGTAGAAATGAAAATAAATGAGCAAAACACTATTCTACTTCTATACTGGCAGTGGAAGATCTTTTGAAATGAAAGTGCTACTACAAATCGAAGTAAACATAGGAACAAACAAGACCTAAAAAATCACAAATATGCTGGCTAATTGAAAGAGAACAATGGCTGAAGGAACCAACACCAATTTAAAACTTACAGAAAAGCTTGCACTACTTGAGGAAAAAAACACAGAATCTGTCTGATAATTCACCATTCAACTTTAGCAAATTGACAAGTAGCAAAATGTTTGTCTAGAGAAATTTAGTGAAAGCATCTCGTTCAACCACTTCAATTTACAAGAGAGCCCACATGGTAAGCATATTCTTTGCATTACGGAGAAGAGAAGCCGCAACTATTGTATTTAACTCAAATGACATGACTGACGGGAAGAAAGCAATACTCAGAAGGACCATGGTGAAGCTAATGGAAACCAAAGACAACCTAATGATTGAAATGACTATAATGTTTGTCTTATAAATTAGTTGATGTGATTGGATGATAAACCTAATGTAGCAGTAGTCATTGGTTGTTTTGCTACAATGTTTTTAGTATGAAAATTGCTGCTGGACAGCCCATTTGAGTCAGTGATATGATTTTTTTACCTTAATGAGAGCATCTACCACATCCATGAACCCTCTGCAGCATGCAGTGACAAGAGAATGCACTGCAATATGAGGACGAATCAGGTCAGATTCCATGAGCAACTCCACATGCCTTGCACGACCATGATAACTTGCCTCGCACGACCATGATAACTTGCCTCTAACAATGCCTCCTCACAAGCTGGCTGAGAAGCACCAGCTTTAACTAAGATCTCCAAAATCTCAAGGTGGCCCTCCCCACTGTTGTGTTGTGCGAAGCCCCTGAATAATTTTTGGTTCACATCGGCTCACATGCTCTATCATTTGACAAATGCCAACCCTCAGCACATTGCAAAAATAAAGAAAAAACTCAACATGGAGACATTCGTCATTTTGGCTCAAATCTTCAAGCTTGGTTAAGAAGAAACAATTAAGCTAGCAGCATAGTAAGCATTTTGGATTCTTAATCAAGTACAGGTTAGCCATGGCCACTCCCAACAAAAATGGGCAACATGATTGATGTGACACATAATGGGACATGGGACTTCAACTAAGCAAGCAGCCAGTAGGTGGTCAATAATATGAAGAAAAAGGGGAGTGTATCATGTACGTGTGACACATAATGGGACATGGGACTTCAACTAAGCAGCCAGTAGAAGGTCATTAATACGAAGAAAGGGGGGATGTATCATGTACGTATGACACTATGCAAAAGCTCTGGTCATGGTTAGAGACAACCCAAATGGGCCTCACCGCCCAAACTTGAAAATTTAT